CATTAGCATACCGCTAATCGTCTGTTCAAGCCCAACAAGAAACACTTAGAGCGAGTTAATTTGTTGTTGTATACTTTCCACAAATTTGATATGCAACGTTTTGCATCCAGCAATGTAGACCTTACTAATGGCACTTCTTACGACAGAGCACAGCGATAAGGATTTCTGTCAAACTTTTGTGTCGAACTTAAGCAATCAAAGGTGTTATTAAGGAGTTCAAGGAAATTTGCCGTATTTAAATAAGAGCTGCTTTTCAGTTGTCCAGTTTTAGGACATGTCCTTATTGCACTTGCGACACTATGACTTAACACTCGAACAGCAAGTTTTACCGATTGTGTTTGAAAAGCGTTTGGATTTATGTGTATATCAGTGAGTTTTGGTAACGCTTTTGCTGTTTTTGATTTTTTGTGAAGTTCATACACATCACATACGTCTTTAAATGAAATAATTGATTTTTTATTTATTTTATTGTCCACTTTATATGCAAAATCACACTGAATTAAATTGTTCCGAAAATTGTTAAATAAATGTGGTATATACATACAAAATATCCTCCTATTTCGATATAAAATATAAGGAGTGTCAGTAGCTACATGCAGCTTCTCTGTTAAAGAAGTATTTCCGGGGCCCTGATCAGCTTTTACAAAAATCCACAACATAATCAATTGTTCATAATTAGTTGTGTTAAATTATCGCTTTTTATTCCCGTGTCACTGAAGAAATAAGCAATTGGCACTTTCCATTTCATGAACTCTCCACGAATCATGATTACCATCGCTTTCTTTGCGTGTTGTTGCTGTCGTCCTAAAGAACCTAAGTCATCAAATCCCTCAATTAAATAAAGGGCTTTTGAATATTCGAGGCATTCTTTTATGGACATTTCGTCAAAGCACAAAAAGCAGAATTTTTCTATTTTGCTCATTGTTTGTGTCTTCAGTAATAATAAAATTGTTTTTTCATGTAGACATTAAAACCTGGCAAAATAGTTTCGTGTCCTATCCATTGCTTTATCGTACTTATGTCACGGAGAATAATATTTTTTTTCTTCAAACGTCATTAAATGACAACTTTGTTGTCGTGTTTACTCGCGGTAGAAGTAAGTCATTGTTGCATAACGACGGTTGCTAAGATCAACATAGCAAAAAAGTACTTCAGCGTTATGGCGCTAAAGTAAATTTCACTTTAGCGCCATAACGTTGAAGAACATTTCACTTTAGCGCCGTATTATTTGCAACGTTTGAAGAAAAAATACTATGTTTTATTCGGAAGAGAAGCAGATTCGTTTGTGGCTGGTCCGTCATTGCCGGACTCACTTCGTTCGTCCGGCAAACTGTCGGACACGCCACAATTTTAACGGCTCATCTGTCATTAGCGACTCACTGCGTTCGTCGCTAAGCGACAGACCACGCCATAAAAAGCACTGCTTCTCTTCCATATAAAACAATATACTATTTTATGGCACGATAGACACTTGGACTGGAGTAAAACAACGATAACAATGTTATGTAATAATTACATTCGCACTAAGTTTTTAGAGGCCCTACTGTAATAATTTAAATTATTTAATATGTTTTCTGTTGTTAGTTTTAATTTTCTATTATTTATTTTAGTTTTAAGTTTCGAAATTGCTGATCGTTTTGTTTTTAGTAAATCAGCTTGTTTTTTAACTAATTGTTCCAATTTTCGAATTTTTTTATTTTTGATGCATTCGGTATCTTCAGAAGATTTTTTTTATGGTGTTGGAAACTCACAGCATTTTTTTAAACATTTGGAAAATATAGGCGACGTTGTTTGTGAAGTAGATGGTTGCGGATTTGATCATATTGTCGTGAATTCATTTTTGGTATACGTTTTCGTTGGAGTCAATATTCTAAAATCATCAGTATCCATATCAGCACCAACGCAATTTTCATACTTTTGTGGTACAGCATTTTTCTTTAACGTACTTTTTGATGTAGGATTTATAAAATAACTGTCTTTAAAATGTAATTCACAAATACATTTATTTTGTAGTTCTTGTTTGGTTAAATGAAGTAAATTTATGTTTCCACTGTGACTTAGCTACAGTTCACACACAGCTTCATTTTTAACAGGGAAACCGTATAGTTTTATTCCACTCTACACTCTTGCACTTGAACCGCAATTATAATAGTAACACCGTCTTCCACTAGCCTCTGCAGAAATTAAAGTACTAAAAGCACAACTAACAATAGTTATTTATACGTATTACAAGTGGGCTAGATATACAGCCTAATTCAGAGTAAGCGCCTTATTTTTTTTAGCCACACTATGGGTACTACTTTCAAAATATTTGGCAGTAATATGTTTTAGGACATTCTCTACACGATGGTGATACCAGATTTTCCATTGGACGAATTATTTCAAAATGGCGACTGTCAACTTTTTTTTTTAAATGGAATGCCAACATTTTTTTTTCATTATTCTTTCCCCATCAAAAATCAACCTAACATTTTAATCTAGTAGCGCATGAATGTTTTACAATCGATGTTATTTTGTCCAAATAAATAAATAAGTAGATGTTTATTACAAAATAAAGTTTAATTGTTTCTTTTGTGTCTAGCGCTACTTGATATTTGAACAAAAATAACATCGAGTGTAAAACATTCATGCGCTACTAGATTAAAATGTGTGCTTTCTGATGGGGAAAGAAATGAATTAAAAAAAAAAACAAAATACTATCGTATAAAGAATGTTTTTAGGATCTCAAAAATAAAGAAAAAATTTTGGCATTCCATTTAAAAAAAAAAGTTGACACTCGCCATTTTGAAATAATTCGTCCAATTGAAAATGTGGTATTACATTCATGTAGAGAATGACCTAAAACATATTACTGCCAAATATTTTGAAAGTACTGCCAATAGTGTGGCTAAAAAAAAAATAAGGCGCTTACTCTGAATCAGGCTGTATAATTACTTTACGAGTGTGAATAATTGCACGACGAGGTCGTAGACCGAGTCGTGTAATCACACGAGTATTGTAATTATGCTCTAGCCCACGTGTGATATACAGTATTTTATCTACGACTGCTAAAAATTACTAAAAAATCAATTTCTTTAAAAAAGTCTATTTGACATTTACAAAAACATTTTGAAATGATTGTTGACAATTTTGAATTGTCAGTTTCAACAACATGTTTACTTATCTGGAATAAGTGTTTCGAAATGTAAAAACTTAACAATTAATGTTTATAATAAATAGTATTGTTTCTCTGTAAGTAGATAGCACTTTTTCTTTTGTATTCAATAAGTTCAAGTTCAATAAGTGCAGTTTAATGCAGTGTAACTAAAATGGCGGAATATTTGAAAGCGTGTTTTGTAATAATTAACATTAATATTAAATATTAAGAAATAAAACCTTATAATAATTAATATTTGTTGTATTAGAGAACACAGTATATTCAACCCCAGTAGAGGCAATAGAAAAGTACCCCTACTTTTTTGGAATAATTTAAAAACAACCCTGTCGATTTTGGCTTCATTAAATACACTTATAGTACATTTAAAAATATTAATTATGTGTTTTTTCTCATTTAGGGGTGGCTGGGGTTAACTACTCTCACCACCCCAAATTGTTTTTTGTTGCAAGTACTGCTTATCGATTTTGGTGCAATTTAGCATGTGAACAAAAACATTTGCGATAATTTCATTTTCCACGAGTATTTCGCTGACAATCTCCTGTTCGCCCATTTCAAATATATACACTTTTTTAATAAAAATCTGTTCGTTGGGACCACGGTTTGTACACTTTTCTGACCTGCACTAAGTTGACATGACATTGCACTTACTTACACTTCATTGCACTATGACGTCATACGAGTGCCATGTCGTGCAGAGTAGTGCAGTCCCAACGAACAAAGCTATTTTTAAACCAGTTATGACGTCATCGCTATTTTTTTCAAATACTAATTCCCCATTTTTATTACGAAATATGAGAGTACTATTTTCTGAATTTGGTACAGCTAATTATCTAATTAAAATTAGTTACATAAGAAAATTTTCGAGAACAATTGGCTTAAAGGTTCATCATTTTCCATTCATTTGAGATAGAAAAATAGCAGTAGCCATGCGTAACCATGGCAACCAACTGTAACAGATAAAAATTACTCATTGTTTTAATAAAATATCTAAAACAACTGTTTCCCATGGATACGTATGGCTATTGCTATTTTTTTACCTCAAATGAATGGAAAATCATGAAACTTTAAGATAGTTTCTCTCAAAAATTTTCTTATGTTTATATTAATGTTTACTGTACTACATTAAGAAAAGAGTCCTCTTTCATATTCCGTAATAGAAATGGGGCATTGCTATTTGAAAAAATATCGATGACGTGTTACTCGTTTAAAAATGACGGACAAAATTTCAAATCTATACCAAACAAATGCAAAAAATTTAAATCTTTAGACCCGCCTCAGCGATTTTTCCATAAACTGTTCTTAATTGTTCTAACGAATGTATTCGTTACTTTTGGGAAACCTGTATAACATGACGTAAGTTTTTAACACATTTTAATATGTAGTAAACTAAATTAATATGTAATGAGTTTTTAAAAATTTTTATTTTTGTCTAATTAAATTAATGTAGTATCTGTTCATAATGTAATAGGTGGCAAGCTCCTGAAGATGATTAAAAATATTAATCGAAACCGGTAGAGCCGAAAATAAAAACTATCCATCCCATAAACACAATAAGATAGTTTAATTTTATTTTAAATTTCACTCGAACTAAAAAAATGTCATTTTGTCAAACTCTCATCTTGCCTCATTGAAGATAATTTTAATAACAAATCGAAACCGGTACATCCGAAAAATAGAAATAAATTGATCCATCAAAAAGTGGAACATTGAGTTTTATTTCAGCATAGTAATATTTGTAGTAAGAATTATAGTGTTAAATAAAACCTCTGAGTACTATCAGTGCCTTTTATTATATATATATATAACACATTTATTTAATACAACTCATAATAATCTTATAATTTTAAGTATTGTTTGCTTGCATTGTAGCATAAGCATAAGCACTCTGCATTATCTAAAAAAAACGAAATTAAATTTGAAATATAAATTATTTATATTTACTTTTTTGAATGTGACCATTGATAATTCTCCGAAATTTCCGCATTTCAATCTGATGGGTTTTTGCGCCCTCAAAATCATCATTAAGATATCCCTCCTTAACTTTGTATCTTTGTACCAATCCAGCTCATAAGCAACGACTGCTATTTCAGTGCTCTAAAATATTATATAGTATATTTGTTGATTATAATTTCTTTTAAACAAGTGACGCACTAACCGCCTGCATAACCTGTTCACCTAGATAACAAGCAAAAAACAAAGCTCCAATCCAAGTTATAGTCGGTAAAAAAGATAAAACTGAAATTCCAGTCATCATCCCCATACATCCAACCCCAATAACTATGTTATGGCTGACAATGCATGGGAAGGTAACCCAAGAAAAACACCCATTAATATAATCTGCAAGTCTTCAAAGAATATATAGATTAATTGTAATTTTTATTAACTTACTCAATAATTCGTATATGATAGTAAATGCAATGATGTAAACACTTTCTCCTGTCATTAAAATCATCGTAAGTGTTAAACTTACGTAATTGGTCACATAAATCTTCGCAACGCGATATAATCGCCATATAGAAAGAAAATCCTGATCCAACAAAAACCGTACCTTTAGTAGTAAGTAAAATCGTGACTAAAAATTGAAATACCCAATGAAAATAATACAAAAATCCACAGCAAATATCGTAAGGATATTTAAACCCCACAGTGAATCCACATAAAATCGTCGTGTCATGTTCCAAATTATATTTTTTACAATTTTTCATATCAAACACTGTAACTGTACATATAAGAAAACCTCCAAATCCACAAAATCCGACCATGAAAACATTAATGTAATCGATTAATTCGTGTTTACGACTAGCTTTTTCAAGATGGCCAAATTCATTCATTGAATTTATTTTGTCAAAAACGATTTCGACATCGTTTTTGATGTAATAAAGTGATAAGTAACCATAATAAAGAGTTACTAAAATAAATAGGACCAAGCTCGTTTCTATCTTTGTTAGTACTTGAATTTTCGACTCCTCAATGGTTTGAATGGTGTATGTTATACCACCAAGTAGGAAATAAATTAGCATAACTTGCTGAATTGTTTGACTTAGAAAATAAGTTGTAACAGCACGATTGGGTGGCACAAAACCCATAAATTTTAAAAGTTTTCTTGTTCGTGGCATGTAATCCATTGTATACACGAACTACGATTGCAGATGCAGTTAGAATTGTAGTGGGTGTGCAAATAGTAGCTATAAAACTAACGTTATGCGCATTGAGATGTATTATATACCAGTTATAATATTGATTTTTTTGCAAATTACAGGATTAAGGTTGGTTAAATAATAAGGTGGAAATGAGATATACATAAACACCCGAGTACTCTTTAACCTTTAATAATTTAACTTCGAGAAAGGTCTGCAATTCATCAATTATTATTACTTATAAATATTACTACAACACTGTCTACAACATTGTCTATTTTTTTTATTATGCGAGCTTAATTACAGTACAAAACCGTTTCTCGTAGCGTAGCTTCCATCTTTCTTTGTTACGCCAATCCTCTCTCCACGTTCTCTAGGGCCTTCCTGCCTTCGCCCTATTGTATAGCACCCATGCTATGACTCTTTTAGGCCATTTAAGTCTTTTTACCTCGATTGTCTGTAATGTGTTTATGCCAATTTTAATTTCTTGCCTGATGTCTTTATCTCTCCTTGTCTTTCTGGAGCATCTTCGCCAATATTCCATTTCCATTGTATTTATCTTCGCCTTATTTCTCCTGTTCACTTTCTATAAGTCTGATCCATAAGTTCCAACACTTTCGACCACAGTTTTATTTCTTTTGTGTATTTTCTTACTCCAGAGGCCTTTATTCAGTCTCTTTATTACCACCTTAACTTAACCACTTCACTAACTAATTCGTCATTGCTGTACTCCTTGTCTGTAATTTGTACTCCCAGGTATCTATAGGATGTCACGTTTTTAACAGTCCTATTGTCCTCTAGAGGTAAATCTTCTCCCTTTCCGCCCATCACTAGGTTCTAGTTTTGCGGATTAATGGAGAGCCCATAGTCTTTATCGTCGGCCATTATCTCCTGGTCGTCGGTCCAGCGTAATATGAATTGATTGGCGTTGTTTATCCGTACTCCCATACTAGAACATTGTTTCTTCCTTTTTTCCTAAAACTTCCCTTAAATATATTTTAAGAAGTGTCGGGACGAAACACCTTCGGTGCTTAAGTCCTGTAGTAATATAATAATCAATAATTGATTAAACCGTCTCTGCAGTTCGTAAAAAATCTATATCAGGAAATTAATAATTGATTTTATAAATTTGTAATATCTCAGTGACTCGCTAGTTCTGCTGAACGCTACCAAGAACGAAGAAGGAAGTTTGAACTCCGGGAAGTTTGCCAATTGAAGTTGAAGACGAATTCCAAGGCTATGCTTCAAATGTACACAATTTGGTCACGTTGCCTATTATTTGAATGTACGAAGATGAGATCACCTTTAAATTTAACACTTCTGATTAAACCGACCATTTTTAATTCCTTAAATTATTCCTTTGTAACAAGGACAAATTCTAACAGTTAGTAACGCTTTGAAATGAACTGAATTATTTTCAGCAGTAACAAGAAAATCATATCTTAATTGATTTTCCGTAGTCAACTTTTCGATTGTAAGAAGTTTTAACACTTTCAAGAGAGTGTTGATTTGTTTAAGATCTACAATGGCTAACCAGCGGCAGAGTGGTCTGTACATGCTGAGTGTCCATGGAGAGAAGGGCAACGATCAATTTTGCAATGATGTCTTAGATAGAATTGAGAGCGGTTAACGCCATCTAGTGGAATCCTTTTAATACAGTAACACTGATATATACTGTTACAATTTATACAAATATGTCTCCTGACGTCATCCTAGATAGATCAGCAGAAATACCAGCTACATATAATCATCGTCAAAGAGACGGACTATGGCAATGTTACTGTGTTGGTTTTACTACACTACAGCAGAGCATTTCACATTGTGTATCATGAAGTTTTAATCGTAAATTTATTAATTCCTGGTGTGGGTGGCCGATCATTTGAGCTGTTAAGGTCGTATATTACGGGAAGAACCCAGTGTGTGATGCTCGAAGGTGTACAATCCCAGGCAGAAGGTATGCACTGTGGAGTTCCTAGGGGCAATTTTGTCTCCGTTACTAGTTACTCTTTGTACTCGTAATCTTCCCGATGTGATAATGCCCTGTAATTAGTGTCTACCATAATAGACATGTTTTGGATCGAGATTGCAGAAGAATGCTGTACTAGTCGCGCGTGTTTATCAATCTAAATTTTGCCAATGACGTTTATGCCACTGCCAATGACATTTAATGTAGTTTATGACGGGTTCCTAATGGCGAATAATTGTTATAGAATCCACAAAATGCAAAACTGTTGTTTCCGCTATATATATATGGTATCAGAAGAGGTGAAAGGTTGTCCTGGATACGACTCAATCATCAATGATTGTCCATGGAACAACGTCACCACTTCCATAGTACTATGTTCTTTTATCGGATCCTGAAGAGTGGTGTCCAGTTGTACTCTGTATTCCAAAGCATAATTCTCAGTTATTCAAACACAGTTTTTCATACAGAGTGGTGAATTGTCTAAATCTGCAGATTTCGAAGTTTGGTTTTTTGATGAGTGTTCGGTTTATTATGCGCAATTGAAATTATAAATTATAATTATAAGCCAATTTTCCCTACAGGTGTGAAACTTGGTCAAATTATTACCAATAACAAACACAAATTCCCTTATACTGAACTAAGTGGTGTATACAGACTTGAATGTTAAAACTGCCCTAAATTTTACATAGGTCAAACAGGTCGTAACTTAGAAACTAAAGAACACCTCACGAAACGCAATTCGGCATTCTTTAAACATCTAGATTCAGAAAAACATGAATCAAGTATTGAAAATGTTAAACTCCTTAAAAACATAAAAAAGTCCAAGGAGCTAGACCTATACTAGATACTTCATCCATCTAGGTAAAACAATGGACGAAGATTCCATAGTTAATGATTTGATAGATTTTAACCATACTTTTAGACATTTTTTAGGATTTAAATAGATTTAATAAGTGAAATGTTTTATAAGATTTTATATATAAGATATAAGACGTTTATAAGATTATATAATCCAACACTTTTCCGCTGATATGCTTGCGCATGTTCCACCACGAAAACGTTTCTTTATTTTCTCATCCCTCTCCAGTCCTAAATTATCTCCAATAACGTACATTTGTTTATAATGACTTAAGTCCTTTTAATTTTTGATTTTAATTTTACGACACATAGTTGAATTGTTCTTCCTTGACTTTTTGTTTGTCTGAAGTGACTTTATTTTAAGAAAAATTTTTACTTTAAGAACGCTGAATAAGTGACGTCCTTTGACATACGAAACGTGTTTTTCTAATAATAAGTTTTTAGTACATGAAAATATGGCGATATCTGTGAATATTACGCTTTCTTCATAAACACTTGACGGTAAGGCTGACATTCTTTCTCACGTTCATTTTGTTAAAGGATAGTTTAACATTTTCTCTCTCCTTTTTGTATAATCCTTTAGTCGTACCTGAAGAAGGAAACTGTTGGTTTCTGAAACATTTGTAGCACCGATATACAGAGTGTCCTGTTAAGTGTACGAAGCGGCTGTATCTCGACAACGCTAAAGCCTAGAGGGTTGGGAAAAAATCCTTATAGGCAAAGTGGCCAAGAGAAATAGCTGGAAATTATTTTGAAGTTCGTAATTCGACCGCTAGGGGGCGTAACTGCTATAGAGAAACATAAAATTTCCGCTATTTCAGAAATTTAGACGATGAGCTATAATTTTAACATCATTTAATAGCTTGGATAATACCGCATCGCTTTTGTTTTGGGATATTTCTCATATCTGTCATAATAAGGGAGGGGGAGGCCAATGCGTTTTCATATGTTTACATTTTAATATCTCCTGGACCATTCAACCAATTTGAATATTTTCGGTGTTGTTTGAAAGAACATTTTATGCTCTTTTTAAAGATATTTTCAGTAAGATCGTTTGCTTTAAAACAAATAAGCTAAGGGGCGTTACCTGCAGCGATTACATATTTTTGTGATTTTTGAAAAAATGTTAAATGGAACGGTACTATTTACTTCACAGGCCCTTACTCACCTTAAAATTTGCTAAATTTTAGTGAAACCGCATCTTGATTGGTATCTTGATGTTAAAAACTCGAGTGCCATCAATCGGATCCAGTTCCCTCATCGAGAAAAACAAATCACTTAACCATAGCAACTGTAAACATGTTATTTACTAATGCAGAAGCGTATGATGATTTATTTTTAATGTTTCGAATACGATGCAACTGAATGGCAAAAATATGCAATGCAATTACGACAAAGAAAGACATTTTACTCTAGAAGTGTTTTTAAGATTGACTTAGTGATTACGGAAAACTGGCAACGTGTAGCCCATTCAAACATCTCTTTAAATTCGTAAATCACATTGGTGCGCAATACGATCCCACATAATCTGGGAACTCCGAAAACAGTTGTCCAGAAGATTCCTCAAGAGAATAATATCTCCACCACATTGTGACAAAATCTGGTCATCACAAATGCTATGGATGCATGAAGCATCTCTCCACAAGCTGGTGTAAGCTTGCATAATATGTATTCTTGGTTCGAGCAAAACCCACATTGCTTTCACCTCTTTGTCTATTCGGTAGACTAAACGACCTAACTTTTCAAGAAAAACCAATAACCAAGAAATATATGACAAAACACTAATGCCATTACAAACGTGTCCAGGGCCGAGACCTAAACAGCGTTTTCTGAAACTAGATTAAATAAATACATCGAGGTTTATGGAAGGCATTTCGAACACTAGTGAGCTATTTTTGCAAAAAATTAAAGTTATTCTAAGTGTTTTGGTTTATTTCGTTTTATTATCATTGTTGATGTTTCATTGGTCCGTTGGCTTTTACACACGCATCAAAAGTAGTTTTGAAGCAGTTCTAAGCTTGGATAAAGTGTGAAGGAAGGTTCTAGGTAAAACATTTTTGTGCTCTCTTATTTGCTTGCTAAGGTAACGTGATCCGATTAAGATATACGAATTTTTAACATTTTCTTCTATAATTCGAGAATGGATGGAGATATCGAGTTGCGG